CAGGCCACTAAATTTTGTCACCCCAGGGCCGCTTATGGTTTATTGTTATTGTTTTTAATTGAGTAGGGGTGCTGACAAAATGTTCACACCATGATCTTGACTATGGCTTACATTAGTAAAGGCTTTGGTTGGTTCTGTCATCAGCAGTTTATTCCTGGGGGCTTCTCCTTCTCACTACCATCTCCCACAAAAGGAAGCAGGTTAGAGATAAGAATCCTGTCTTATCTCTGGAATCTCCTTCCAGGTAGACACATAGCCCATTTCTGTTAAGTGAACCTTGTGAGAAAATAAGTAGGGTGATCAAAATAGCATTCATGGGAAAAGTTTAAAACTCACCAAGTTTATATGATAGTAATCCTTGGTTTTCCCGATAGATTTGACTCCTGAATACATTATAATATGAAATAGAAGGTTATGTAGGCTACTTTCCTCTCTCTCTCTCTCTCTCTCTCTCTCTCTTTTTTCCCAAAATGAGGCAAAACAGTTCCCTCCTTTGGACATTGCCTTAGTAAAGGCATTCCCCAAAGCAGGTTTCCAAGCACACTGGTATTTTCACTCACAGGAAAAGGGAAAGGAATAAATTGCTCTCTCTGCGATTACGCCAGGCTGGTCTATTGACACACAAGTGAATGATATGTTTCTACCCTGAGAGGGAGCCCCTCCATCATTCTCAAAATTACAGGCCCTCAGATCACCACTGAATGTCTAGCCCTTGGAAATTTGCAGAGATAGACAAAGAATAAGGGAAAGAGTACATAGCAGGCAGCAGTAAATAGCTGTATTTATAGCATTGTGTCATAATGGAAACATCAATCCTGTTTTCTGAGGAAACTACTGAAAATCCTAACCATAATATTGTCCTCTACTCGACTGCCAGATTGGCTTATAACTTATTTTTTCAAAAAGCTAGAAGCTAAATTCTCGGTGCCATGCAGAGTACAACCTGAAGATGAAATTGTAAACAATTTCAAAGGCTCATTTAACACAGAAACAGATATTTTCAGACATCAAACCGTTGATCTCAAGGTTGGTTTCTGAGGAGATCTCAGGTTCTAATGGATAGGTGAGATAGAGGTGTACACTAGCATCTAGCTTTGTATTGGGCACATAATAAGCGATTATACATTTTTTATTTACTTAAGCATTTAACAGGTAGAATATCATAGTTAATTCAGGATATACCCATTTGTGCCACAAAAGTTTCCGGGGTAAAAACCACCTTTGAGAGAATCTACCTCTATTTCACGTGTGTGTAACATAATTTGGGGCAAACTCTAATACTGTTTATGTTTAGAAATACAGTCTTTTTACAGCCACAAATCTAAATCTTGTCAATAGAAGAAAACATGAACTCTGTAAAATAATTTAAAGAGGTTTAA